TGGGTGTTATACACAAACAATGAATCATGGAACACTACATCAAAAACTAATGATGTAATGTATGGTGATTAACATAACAATAAAAAATTATTAAAATTATGTGTAATCATCATTATGATGTGTTATATGTGATTACTAGATACAATCACTTAAATGTAGATTTAAATTTTCCACTGGGCTTTAAAAGTATTACCAAATACTTTAATTCAATCTAAAAAGGCATTGTATAATTCAGTTAAAACAATTATATTTTTCTTCTCAGATTAGAGTTAATATAAAAAAAGGTTTATTCAGCCATATTATTAAGCAAATTACAACAAATTCTTGATAACAAAGTTAATTGTTAACCTTCAAAAAGGAATTTGAATACTGAATTTATTTAATTTTACCCTGTGAGCCAGAGGCAAAAGAGATAAACCACATATGGCAATTAAAAATGCAACTCCAAATGACTAAGGTATGTTTCTATTGCATTCTAGAAATAAAGGCTTCCTGATATGTCCTCTAGTTATTTTTAGCACTCCACCACAGAGCTAACAGCTACTCTAGAAACTTGAAATTACCACCATCCACAAGAAAAAAGTAAATTCACTGAACTAAAAAAAGAAAAATCTGATCACATTCTCAAACCTAATGCCCCTAACTTCTATGTTTGCAATGACTAGTTTATTCTAAAATCAATCCTTGCCATGTTTTTCTTACTGCTTACTCTTCCTTTTTTTAAGTGGGGGGAGGGCAGAGGGAGAGGGAGAGAAAAAATCTTAAGCAAGCTCCATGCCCAGGGAGTGAGCTGTGAGCTGGAGGCAGGGCTTGATCTCACAACCCTGAGATTATGATCTGAGCCAATATCAAGAGTCAGACGCTTAACCAACTGAGCCACACAAGGTGCGCCTTATTGCTTACTAGTCTTTTCTTCACTTCTAGGGGGAAACCTGAGAAATAAAATTCAGGAGATATTTAAATAATCTTATGGCAGAAGAGGCAAATATACCATTAGCCAGAGAAGAGTAAAACCTGAAAACTTTTAGGGGCAACTAGGTGGCTGCTTCTCTCCCTCTGCCCTTCCCTCTGCTTGTGTGCTCTCGCTCTAAAATAAATAAGTAAATCTTAAAACAAAAAAAAACCCTGAAAACTTTTAAAAAGCATATTAGCTTCACTGCAGCATCTGATTAATAAAAACTAAATGCTTTCAATAACAACTTCTCTCAAGAAATCTGTGAACCCGGCCTAAAAGGTTTTAGCTACGCATTTTCTACTGACTTACAAAGTATGTTCAGAAGCTTGTTTTCATTTCTTAATCATCAGTCTTGAAACAAAACATGAAACACTGCATATCCTGATTCTGCCCTTTCTCAAAGGCAGTAATCCCTACCAAACTGATCTAAAATAAAGCATTTATGGGCGCCTGGGTGGCTCGGTTGGTTGGGCGACTGCCTTTGGCTCAGGTCATGACCCTGGAGTCCTGGGATCGAGTCCCACATCCGGCTCCCTGCTCGGCGGGGAGTCTGCTTCTCCCTCTGACCCTCTTCCCTCTCGTGCTATCTCTCATTCTCTCTCTGTCAAATAAATAAATAAAATCTTTTTAAAAAATAAATAAAAAATAAAATAAAATAAAGCATTTATGTGATTAAGACTATTTAAAGCCCTATATTTAATATCAAGAATCACATCCAATGTATCTGTGTTTGAGATTTTCATATTTAAAGGAAAAAGCTGCCATCAATACAGGTTTAACAAACTACCAGATACAGCAGGAAAGACACGTGGCAATGTGGATGAAAGAAATGCTGAAGTTACATACTGAGAAGGTATAGTAATGATGTAAAATACTTTAATTTCAACTTTCCCCATTAAATATTATTCCTCTCAGTTCTGCTCTGAACAGGGAAACCCAGATAATTAACACATTTGGGATAAACTCTAAAGGACTGAGATGCAGCTAAGAACTTAGCCTTACATATTAATAATGACAGAAGTAAAAATGTTCCACAAAGCATTTTTATTTCAACTGGCAAAGAAAGGAAATAAAAGGAAGCAAGTGACTTCAAGTAATAAAAGGCAGAAAGCTGGTTTTTAGTAGTTTGTTTTGGCTACATTAGTCATAGAAGGTTTAAAATCCAAAGTCATTAGTCTCGTGTCACTTTTTATTTTTTTTTTTAGATTTTATTTATTTATTTAAAGAGAGAGCATGTAAGAGAGAGAGAGAGAGTGTGCACCCACGAGCAGGGGGAGGGGAGGGGTAGATGCAGAGAGAGAAGCAGGCTCCCCACCCAGCAGGTAGCCCAATGTGGGGCTCGATCCCAAGATCATGACCTGAGCTGAAGGCAGACGCTTAACCGACTGAGCCACCCAGGCACCTCCTCGTGTCACTTTTAAAGTCTCAAAAACAACCCTAATCCTACCCACTGGCATCATTACAAATATATTAGTAGCATGATGGAAGTAGGCAGGCAGAAGCCAAAGCCAAGTGTCAAAAAATTAAAAAACCTTGTGAGCCAGGCTTAGATAACAAGGAAAAGAGCAGCAGTAACTCTCTTCCTAGATCACAGAAACAGTAAATAGGTCCTTTTTATTCCTCTCCAAGCCACATCCAGAGGAGGCACCTCTCCCCATTCCTTGATAACTAACCTCCATATTCTAATATATTCAAAGATTCTTTCCTCCTTTTCCTCCTTCCATCTATTTTCTTCCCTTCATTCCAATTCTAACCAATTTAGTTTTCTGTTGAATGACCCCTTTTCTCCCCAAATTCCCTCATCTTATTCCTTTTCCTTCTGGGTTTTTTTTTTTTTTTTATCTGTTTACATATCTGGGTTTCTAATTCCACAATGAAGGAATATACACTGTGGTTAAGCAAAGAAATTCTATGTTGAAAGGGAAAAAACAACAACAACAACCAAATGTGGCCCTCTAATTTCCCCAATATAACATCTGCACCATACATACCTGTTTCCTAGTAATGCTGCCCCCCTCACTCATGAGAGCTGAAAAAAGGTGATTACTCACAAACAAGTTTACTCAAAAATAAGTTGATAAATGTTGCATATATGGAGTCATACAGAACTATTATCTAAATCAGCACTTCCCAACATTTATTTCTTAAAGCAATAGTTCAACAAGGTGTTCCACAAAAAAATAATGCTTTCATAGTCAAATCACAAATCACACTAGGCTCTTAAAAGAGTCTAAGAAATCCTGAAGTGAAGAAATTTAACTTTATTATCCAGCTTTTCCCAAACCTAAGTTAATGAGTCCCTTTTTTGGCAACATTTATTAATACCTCACAGAACATGCATTTAGGAAATATTAATCCTAACCACTGATTAAAATATATCATGCAAAATATTATAACCTTATAATCTTAATGGTTCTCAAATGTGAGAACTTTTGAAAAGCCAAAAAAGAATTTACATAGAAAATAATTACCTTGCTAGGTAAAAATGACTCACTTTAAATATCATAGGTATACTGACCTTACCTAGGTTCATTTAAGAATTAGACTTTAATCACCATTTGTGATTTTTTTTTGAAGGGGAATGAAGAGCAAAATTTTCTTTAATGTCAAGTGTATCATATGAAATATAATATTCTACAAATATTAAGATATAAGACTATTGTCATTTCTCTATTTTCATGTTTGATCTTCTCAAGTGGGAGAAAAGAAAGAGATTTTGTGACTTACAAAACCTAATTACTACAAAGGCATATTACATACGAATTTATCAGAACATATGTTACACAATAATAAATTTTAGTGAAAATGTGTCAATTTTCCCCTTAAGGTTAATTACCAATTATTTACTTCACAGGTTTTAAAGAGTATATTTCAAAGTACACACATTTTACCTGAAAGCTCCGTAAAGTGGTCTGTACCAACAGACAAATGAACAAGGAGTAAAAAGCAAGAACCACAGGATACTCAATCCAAAATCAACCCCTCTTGTAGGATCAACACAAAACCAAGCCAAGCATCCGAAGATATTTAGAAAGAGTGTTACAGCGTGGACTGTGGAATCAAAAAACAAAATAGAAATGTTTACATTCAATTTATGAATTCATTCAACAAAAATTGTAAATGAAAAAATTCTTCCTTAGAGCAAATGTATTCCATCCCTTGTTTCCAGTTAGGATCTTTCAAAAAACATTGCTGTTTCTTACACATTTGATTTGATATGTAATGTTTGGGAACAATTCTTCTGACCCTCTCCTAATGGGCAATTACCAGAGAAACACTGCCTTAAGGGATTCTTCCTTGAGAAGGAAACACGTGATATGCCTTTCTGATCCAAGGCCCAGCCAGGGAAAGAACCAGGACTTTGGAGGAAAAAGATCCTACACTCTGAATTACATTTTTACAGAGTAGGCCTGCAGACTCCTCCCAGAGTAGACTATACAAGAAGAAAACTGGAGAAGTGCCCTGTACAATCTCACTGTAACATTTTTAAGCAATTAATTAGAATCACTGAACTAAAAATAACAATACAGTAGCAATTTCAGGGACTGTATAGTCAATCTCTCGGGAATATTCATCTTCATAGGGTTATCATTTTTTAAAATGCTGGGATAAATATGGTGTTTTGGTAGAGGATTAAATTTACTTTTAAATAAAGGAAATAATGAATTTCAGCTGCTGTGGCAGATCTTTTAATTAACAGTTAATGGAAAACTATTCATATGTTAATAATTACATATCCAGAAAGACCTAAAACAAAACATCCGAGTACCATCTAACTATACTTTGATCCTAAAGAACTACATTTACCCCTTATAATTAATAACTTTTAAAAAAGATTTTTAAGAAGTTTATTCACAGGCTGAATTAAAAGAAATAATTTTTTTCAAAAGTTAAAATAATGTTCAATGTAAATTAATACAAGAAAAATATACCAACAAACTACTACTTGAATTAAAAATAAATGAAAAACCTAGTAAATCCAAATACAAAAATCTCAACTTACCTTAAAAACTTTAAAATCTTTTCAACTTACTAAATAAAAATAGTAATTAACAAAACAAGATAAAGACATACATTATAGGGTGCCTCTATATTTGCTTTAATGACTAGCTAAATATACAAACTCTAGAGTAAGAAAAGGGCACCAGAGGAAGAGTGAAAACACCTGGGTTATACAGATATACTATTGAGCTAATCAACCTCTACATTTCAATTTTTCAGCTACAGAAATACAGGAGCTCTTCCACATTTAAAACTCCATTCCATTCTATTACACAAAGAAGACTCTTTCTTATTAGCTTTGTTACCATTAGGATTTCTCTCACAAAAGCTAGCTTACTAATACATTTACTCACAATCTTCTGTCTCAAAATAAAACAGTTTTTGTCAATGGCTTAAAAACAGATTTCAAAAGACCATGAAATAGAAAGTTACTATTTTTTAACATTAAATATCATCCAACTGCCTAAAAAAGTTTTATATATTCACATTACAAATTTCAACCTTAAGAGAATTTTTAAAGGTTTATCTCCTAATTTGCCTAAGAAAATATGGGTATGTGTATTTAAGTTTCATTAAAAATTCTTCCAATTATTGATAAAAATTTCAATTTAATTTTGTGTAATCTATTAAAATTTCTTTTTAATGTTTTCAGAGTAACCAAAAACCATGATCAACAAGTCATTTATTTGTACCCCAAAGAAAAGTAAAATGTACAGGCCTACTTACTAAATAATCCACTTATACACAGATCAAAAAATATACAGAAAGGCAAGGTAATGTGAAACACATGATTCTATGTTGCTAATTTCAATCCCATTCCAATCCACTTGGTGGATTCTAGGTGTACGTATAACACTAAAGAAACTTTTAGGGTATTTTGTTTACATGATTTGTAAGTTTTTAAGTTGAGTGATTCAACTTCATAGAAAATTTCCATATGCTTTTTTAAGCACTTAAATCTGTTATTAGTGGACCTAAATTTGCAACTATCACTACAATATTCTTCTTGATAAGCTCTGCATTATAACACAACTAACATAGACAGATTTTAAAGAGTATAATTATCTTCTTCACTAATTGATCTTTAAATGGCTTGTTTTCCCTTTTTTTTAAGAATATACTCAAAGAGGTTAAGATTCATTTCACAGTGATAGTTCTAATTGCTTCAGTTCCTTTATAGAGTAAAATATTTATTTCAAGTAAGGTACCTTTGAAAGTATATCTTCATCTTATTTGGGTTTAAAACATAAATTACTTCTTCATTTTGGTACTTTGTAGGTTGTACAACATGGAAATCTAGACTCTTGGCTCTGGAGTCAAGCTATCCAACTCCAATCCTAATTGTTGTGTAGTCTTGAACAAGTTACTCCAATTCTCTAAGCTTTGGTTTCCTTATCTTAGGTAATATAATACCTGCTTCATAGTGTAGTTAGGAGTTAATAACATCATGTATATAAAGTGATTAGTACTATGCCTGGCACAAATAAATCCTCAATAAATATTCTCTTTCATTATAATTATTACTACAGTATGAAAGCACTCGTCAACTCTGAAATCATTAACAGGCTGACACTTCTTGAAAGTGACTTATTAAAAGAAGTGAAATTTAGAAACATCACTGAGCTGGTACTAGATCTTACTTTATTCCAGGTAATGCTTCCTTAAATACTGAGACCTCTTTAAATACTTTAAATAAGAGATCTGTCAACTCAACAGGATTTAGAAAAACTGTATTCTAAAAACCTCAGAGATATATTTATAAGACAAAACAGACCTATTTTGAAACAATTAGTACTAGTAAAGTAGCCATTCAATTAAAATTAATCACCTTTCCCATTCAATCTCTATCTACTAAATTCCTTGTAGAATTTTCTTCCAACCCTCTATCTCCGCCATCCAAAATATGTTTTTCCACTAGGTCAAAGAACTTATACTTAAAATGCTAGGCCAGGTCTGCCCATTAAAAAATAATTATTATATACATGCATATATTATATATTGATTAAATAAAATATATGGGTTGTTTACATGACATATATAAAATCAAAAGCTTTAATGTTAAAAGTATATAATACTGCCTACACTGGAGATTTAGCAAGATACTAGATCAACAACAAAATCTCAAAGAATAACTAAAGAGTTAAGAATGTACTATCCATAAGGAATCACTACTCACATTTTAAAGTAACTTCACATATGTGAAGAATGCTCTGAAAAGATTTTGAGGAAAATTGTCTCATTTATTTAGGAAGGGGAAAAAACGGCTCCTCAATTATACAGTAACACACATAAATTTCCTCCATCAAGAATGTACACTACAAAACCTCCACTAAACCCAGCAGTTATGCAGGTGAGAAGTCATGACAGCTACACCTCTCCCACTAACATAGTAACATTAAAAGGGGCTGAGACTACTGTTTGCAATAAAAGTGAAACAGAGAATAAGTGGAAATTCTGTGTACCTAGAACAAACTGTTAACAGCTTGACATTTTACTTTAGTTATTACATGAGTTGTAATTATACTCAACACAATGCAAGCACCACAGCCTAAATATATGTCCTAATGTTCTATTTAGTAAAATATCCTACATTAACTAGGACTTCCAATAATAAAAGTACTTATCAACCACTTGAAAATGAAAAGTCAATTGTGCTCAAAGCTCTAATAAAAATTATAATAATATTTTACAGCCCTTTTAAAAAGTCATAATGCTTTAAACAGCCTTCATTTAGTATAATTTTTTCAAAACAAGTATTACCTAGATAGTATTTTACAACTATTCCTTTTTCCTCAAAAAAATACTATATATGTGACAGAGAAGTCCTTTCCTCAAAAGAATGCCAGTTCTCATATATGCTTTCCTCAGTTTAGATTGTCACATACAGTATAATTTTGCAATACCTAAATATGTTCCACTCTGAAAATTAAGAGCTATACCAAAAAACCTATTTGTGATACTATCCTTAATATCTGAATTCCAAAAAGGGTGGTTTTTGACAATAAAACATAAACTCTGTTGAATATACAATTTATTTTATACTCACACATCCACAAGTAGTACATAATCTTTACTGTCTTCTGGAATTCTACAGGAATGTCTACAGAAAAATCCTGATAAAAACAAGGTCCCACGGGAAAATTGCCAGGGAGAGGTGGCCAATTATTTTTTCTGCCTGCAAATTTAAAAAAAAAAATTATATTAGGACCAAGATGTGCTATTCTTATTTTTGGTTTCATAATAAATAACATAATTTGTTCTTTTAATAGATGTTTTATAAATCGAATGCTGCCTCTCTACATTCCTATATTTGTACAGCTTTGAAAGCCAAGCTTTGCATTTTTAAAAATTTTCCCAAAGGGGGCGCCTGGATGGCTCAGTTGTTAAGTGTCTGCCTTCGGCTCAGGTTATGATCCCAGGATCCTGGGATCAAGCCCCACATCTGATTCCCTGCTCCGCGGGAAGCCTGCTTCTCCCTCTCCCACTCCCCCTGCTTGTGTTCCCTTTCTCTGTCAAATAAATCAAATCTTTAAAAAAAAAAAAAAAATTCTTTTCCCCAAAGTAGGGGCACATGGCTGGCTCAGTCAATAGAGCATGTGACTGTTGGATCTAGTGCTGTGGGTTCAAGTCCTGCGCTGGGTGTAGAGATTACTTAAAAATAAATCTTAAAAAAAAAAAAAATGCTTTTTCCCCAGAGTTTCACTTTGGAAAACATTAGATGGTAAAATATTTTTCCAGTGTCATGTAATGTTTAGCAGGAACCATTTATGTACATAAATGGTTTCTTGGTACAAGAAACAAAAAAAGAACACAAAGACATACCCTGTGACTCTACCCTAAAAACAGACTTATTTCTCAAAGTCCCAAGAGTCTGGCTGTCATGTGAAGGTCATGCAGTTTTTAAAATATCTACAATTTCCTCTTCAGCATCTTAAGTCTTTGAATATAATTCCTAGCCCATGTGGAGAGGGAAGAACAGCTTCTGAATCTTTTGAGTTTTCTACTGTTAACTCCATGAAGAAATACACAATTAACTAATACCAAAGAATCAAATTTGGAAATCCCAAAGTCTGAAAAAATAATATTCAAAATATCCATGTAAGAAAACCATAAAACTAGGAGAAAATATGAAACATGAGAAGGGAGCTAAGGAATTATAACACCTTCAAAAACCTAGAGGAAAAATAAATTCAAATTATGAGGAGGGAAAATGTGTCTTTATAAAGAAATGAAACAGAAAATAGGGCTTGGGAAGTGGTGGGAGCAATAAAAACACTAAAATTAAAGCAAGAAGTCTAAACATTAAAAACAGAAGGTAAACACAACACCTAAAGGCCACTTCTCATTTTAGAAATTATATGCCACAATTTTTGAAAATTTGATTTTATATACTTTGTATAGGTGAAGAAAACTTTACAGTGGAAAACAAGAATGACCTATGTCTGATTCTTCCCACCATGTCTGCGCTATTTATAATTCTTTCCAAATTTCATATTCATTTCTCATATAAGTCTCGTACTATTTGAGAGGAGCAGAGATAGCAAAGTAAGAACTAGAATCTGAAAAAAGAAGTGCCTAGCAACTTTTTGGCTAGAGGGTGTTGGGTACCTTAAACTCTTGAAGACTTGGTAAAATCTGAAGACCTCTATAAAATCTTACATTTCTTCATAAATTTAAGAGTAGAAATAACAAGAGAATAATAACTATACCACCCTTCAGGGAATTATAATTAATAAGTACTTACATGTGTAACATACTAAAAGTCTAACTCTTAATTTCCCACTCTTCGTTACTATCTTTACTAAAATATCTCCCGTAGAAATAACTTATATTAGTCAATACTAAGGATATAGGACAGATTTTATTACAGGTATTTCAGAAACACTGATCTTAAATAAATCCTTAGTTTCTCCTTTTACAGATGTTGTCTCTGATGTCGCAAGCCAACAAAATGGCCAAGGATGAACGTGTCTTCACAAGGCCCTAGGCTTACACACTTTTTTTTAATAGTCTTTGAATATATAAATTTCATTTTTAGTTTTAATTTAAATTCCCTAGTTAACATACAGTGTAATACTAGTCTCCGGGGTACATTATAGTGGTTCAACACTTCCATACAATACCTGATGCTCATCACAGCAAGTGCCCTCCTTAACCCCCAACCCCACCCACCTCCCCTCTGGTAACCATCAGTTTGTTCTCTACAGTTGTCCTTGGTTTGCCTCTCTTTTTTCCCCCTATGATTGTTAGTTTTGTTTCTTAAACTCCACATATGAGTGAAGTCATATGGTATTTGTTGTTCTCCGACTTAGGCTTACACAATCCAAGATAAGGAAGAAATAGTTCAGTATATTATTGCTGACCGAGCTCTGTCATTCCATCACTATCCTAGACATAGTAACAATGACTTATCTAGCTCTTTAACCCCTTAGCCAGACACTGCTATCTTTCTCTAAGATACACCCTTGAAGTGGCCTTTGGTAGTCACAGTCTAAATAGATTTCATAGCAAATGATCAATTCAGTACTTATTTCTGTGGTATCACTGAGAAACCTGAGCCTTCCCAAAGTCATATCACACATTTTTTTAATATGATTTGACAGGCATGTTATACTTCTGAGGACGGGGCACATAATTAGAAACAGTAATAAACAAAAAAGTAAGAGTCAAATTTAGGGCACACTCTTAAAGCTTCAATAGACTCAAAGAGGGCCCAAGTGCAGAATAAAAGGCTCCTGGCCAAACCCCAAAATTATCACGTTCACATTCACTTTCTGTGTGATAAGGCTAACACTGTTATAATCTATCAAAAGACTATGCAAATCAGCCAAGATCAGAGAGCTACAGAGTAACAAGAAGGAAATCTCCTGTCTGATCTTGCTAGAACAGGAAAAAATGGCATGGCTTTATCCATAAACCAAATGACTTAGAGCTAGCACAGGCATAATTTAAAGTGTTTAAAAGTTATTTTTATTTCAAACTTCTTTGGATACTACCATGTTGACTGAGATTTTGCATTTCTCGTTCTCGACGATCTAATTCTGCTGCTTTTCTTTCTAGTTCTTCTTGGCGCTTAAGAAGCTCAGCTTGGGCCAAAGCATGTTCCTTAAACAAACAAACAAAACATCAGTAAATGAATAGGTTGTCAGAGTTAGAAAATCCTATAACATGACTATGTTCTCTACTCTCTCTCTCCCTCTACAATGCCAGAAACTTTTTTTTAAGTTTATTTACTTTTTAGTCATCTCTGCACCCAATGTGAGGCTTGAACTCAGGACCCCAAGATCAAGAGTCCTATAATGTCAGAATCTAAATTCAAATGCTCTTCCAAAATACAGGAATTCAGGGGTGCCTGGGTGGCTCAGTTGGTCACAGGGCTCCCTGCTCAGTGGGGAGCCTGCTTCTCCCTCTCCTCCCCACTCGTGATCTATCTCTGTTGCTATCTCTGTCTCTCTCTCTCAAATAAATAAAATCTTAAAAAAAAAATACAGGAATTCACTCTAGGTTACATCTTCAGAAGACATGGAGATACTTGACTGATTTTTGTTTGTTTTTAAGATTTTATTCATTTATTTTTCAGAGAGAGAGAAAGAGCACAAGCAGGGGGAGTGGCAGGCAGAGGGAGAAGCAGGCTTCCCACAGAGCAGGGAGCCCGAAGTGGGGCTTGATCCCAGGACCCTGTGATCATGACTTGAACTGAAGGCAGATGCTTAACTGACTGAGCCACCTAGGAATCCCTGATTTGGGTTTTTTTCGTTATGAAAACCATCAGCGAGAATATTGGGACATTTAGAACAGGACAAAATTCTCTCAGAGTAGTTAGAGTCCTAATTGGGAAAATAAAATTAAGGTAACCTCTGTGCCTAAATGAGAATGAAGAACAAAGGGAACAATTGAGGCAAAACAGATAAAGTGAGAAAATGACAACTGAAATGCCTCTTAAGAATTGGTTTGAATGGTGCCTAAGGTTTCCAATTCAAGAATATACAGTATCTTCTATTTTAGAAGACAATGAGATGAAAGAAGGATATGATTAAGAAATTCTGGTTTGTAACTCCATCTGCCTTTATGTAATACAAGGCATCCTATTCATCTCCTTTATTCTATTTTTACCACCTGCTACTTCCTACCACTGTCCTTTGCTTAGCCATTACAACTCTTTTCCAATAGTTTATATTATCTTATCATTGGTACTATAATAGCATTGTGCATGAAAGAGTAAACCCAACAAAAGGCAACAAAAATTTCCCTAAAGAAATTGTTCCTCAAGAGGATATATGAATTCAGTAACTGCTAATAACAGTATAAAGTAAATATTATAAGCTGAAAAAGAACTGTATTATAGAGTTGACAAACTAACCCACACTCAAAAGTAAGTTAAAAATTAAATAAGGCAGGGGCGCCTGGGTGGCTCAGCTGTTAAGCGTCTGCCTTCAGCACAGGTCATGATCCCAGAGTCCTGGGATCGAGCCCTGCCGTCGGGCTCCCTGCTCAGTGGGAAGCCTGCTTCTCCCTCTCCCACTCCCCCTGCTTGTGTTCCCTCTCTCACTGTGTCTCTGTCAAATAAATAAAATCTTAAAAAAAAAAAAAGTAAGGCAAAAAAAAAAAAAATTAAGTAAGGCAACATATAAAGAATTCTTCTGGGTGCCTGGGTGGCTCAGTCGGTTAAGCGACTGCCTTTGGCTCAGGTCATGATCCTGGAGTCCCAGGATCGAGTCCCGCATCGGGCTCCCTGCTCAGCGAGGAGCCTGCTTCTCCCTCTAACCCTCCCCCCTCTCATGTACTCTCTCTCTCTCATTCTCTCTCTCTCTCAAAATAAATAAATAAATCTTTAAAAAAAAATTCTTCTATTCTGAAGATGTTATTGATACTGTAATTTCCAATACAAATTTACACACATAACATGAACTAACCTTTGCAATCTGTGTATAAGTTGGATGTTCCTCTGTTGGTTTCATTATTGCTGGTTGTGTACTGGGTACATTAGGCATTTTCACAGTGCCTGGTGGAGGCTAGGAAGATTAAGAAAAGGACAAATTATATAACACAGAGATCCAATTTTAACTTCTTTCAAAAGGCCTAACCCTAACAAAAAGCAAAACGCCAAGAACTCCTCTCTTCTTCCTCTGGTGTGTAGTAAAGTGCTGCTTCAGCTCTCCATCTCCATTTTCTCAAACTCACTCATTCCTCAACTCTCCAATTGGCTGCTACCTCTACCACTACACCACACACACTCTCCTCCAGGATGCCACGTGTAGAAACACAAAACAAAACCTTGAAGTATCGCTTTTTAGTAAAATACAGATAGTGCCAAACTGAAGAATTTACATCAAGGTTAATTGTTAACTCTTTCCACAAAAGAAAGGTACGTGCCAGGGCCCTAAAAAGTTAATAGGAGAGGTTGGCTAGGAAGATGGCAGAGAAGGAAGACCCTAAACTCGACTCCGACAGATACAACTAGGTAACACCCACAGCAGCGGAAATAACCCAGCAAACAGCCCAAAGGATGCCACAACACACTCCACAGCGAAGGGTAGGGAGGAGTCCACACCAAAGGAGGTATCAAGGGTGAAGACACAGTCTGGGAGCAAAAGGGACAGCAGCCTGCCGCAGCAGAGAAGGAGCCAGCGGCACAGAGAAGAGCGGCAGACAGATCTTCATACTAACTGGGAGAATGAATCTCCGTATTTGCCTTTGAAATTTCATGGGTTCTTAAAACCAGCAGGACTTAAAACCTAGAATTTTAAAAACCAGCATGCTCAGCTCTGGGTAAGCCCAGAAGGTGTTAGGAAACAGAGTCCCTCATCTTAAAGAGACAGGATGAAAAACAGCCTATGCAGATGCAGTGTAGAACCAACAGTTCGAAAAATGCCACAGGCAGACAAGAAGGACAGAGATTTGCTCATCTCAGAGCACGGGCCTAGAAAGACAGGTATCATGGGGAGACCCCTCCAGGAAAAAAGGAGCTGGCAGGTGACATTTTTCTCCCCTGCTCCCCAGCGTAAATAACAGCCACCTGCAGAAACCAACACTGTGTGGGCGGCCACATGCTACTTAACTTGCTTACACCAAACCGAGCCCCACCACATGTGCTTTGGCAGATCAGCCCTTCCCAGGCATGCTCCCCTGAGTTGTGGTGCTGTGGGGTCCCTCCCCAAGAAGACCACCCTGCCAATACCACATCTCCTGACCCGCTTGTTTTGCAGGACCACAGTTCCAGCAGTGGCAGATACTGTTTCACAAGTAGACCACTGCACACCTTGCTACTCACAATAGGTAAAGACAGCATCAGCAAACAACTGGACTGAAGGGAGAAGATTCCAGAACTCAACAGCAGAGCACCTGCAACACACCCTGGGGAACAGGGACACTGCACTACAGGGCACTATAATACTTCTTCTTCAAAGACTACTATTGTTATGAGTAAGGTAAGTAGCTGACTTCTCTAACACAGAGAAACAGACACAGAAAGTCAAACAAAATGAGAAGACAGAGAAACATCTCCCAAATGAAAGAACAGGACCAAACCACAGCTAGAGACCAAAGCAAAATGGATATAAATAAGATGCCTGAAAAAAAATTTAAAGTAATGATCACAAAGATACTCACTGGACTGGAGAAAAGAGTGGAGGACATCAGTGAGACCCTTAACACAGAGATAAAAAAGAACCAGAGGTCAAGAACACAATAAGTGAAATTAAAAATACACTTATAATATAATAAATAGCAGGCTTGATGAAGCCAAGGAATGAATTAATACCTGGAAGACAGAGTAACACAAAGTAACCAAGTTGAGCAAAGGAAAGAAAAGTATATAAATTGAGAATAGTATTAGGGAATTCAGCAACTCTATCAAGCCTATCAAGCATAGTAACATCCACATTACAGGGACCTCAGAAGAAGAGAGAGGCAGAAAATTTATTTGAAGAAATAATAACTGAAAACTTCCCTAATGTGGTAACAGATATCCAGATCCAGGTGGCAGAGAGATCCTCCAAAAAATTCAACCCAAGGAGGTCCACACCAAGACACATAGCAATTAAAATGGCAAAAAGTAGGGATAAAGAAAAACATTTAAAGCAAGAGAAAAGAAGACAGTTGCATACAAGGAAAATCCCATAAGGCTACAAGGGAATTTTTCAGCAGCAACTTTGCAGGCCAGAAGGGAGTGGCATGATACATTCAAAGTGGTAAAAGGGAAAACTCTGTAGCCAAGAATGCTCTATCCAGTAAGAATATCATTCAGAATAGAAAGACAGATAAAGAGTTCCTCCAAAAAACAGACCACTAAACCAGCCCTATAAGAAATTTTATTATTATTTTTTAAAGATTTTATTTATTTATTTGAGAGAGAGTGAGAGAGAGAGAGCACATGAGAGGGGGGAGGGTCAGAGGGAGAAGGAGACTCCCTGCTGAGCAGGGAGCCCCATGCGGGACTCGATCCTGGGACTCCAGGATCATGACCTGAGCCGAAGGCAGTTGCTTAACCAACTGAGCCACCCAGGCGCCCCCCTGTAAGAAATTTTAAAGAGCACTGTTTGAGTGAAAAAGAAAGACCATAAGTGAGAGTATGAAAAGTAAAAAGCACAAAAGCAATAAAAATCAGTATTTCTGTAAAAATCATTGAAGAGATTCAAGAAATAAAAGGATGTGAAATATGACACTATACACCTAAAAGGTGGGAGGAAGAGGAGTAAAGAATGAGTTTAAACTTAAGCAACCATCAACTTAATATAGACTGCTATATGCAGAAGATGTTATATACAAACCTAATGGTAACCACAAATCAAAACCCAGTAATAAATATACAAAGACTAAAGAGAACAGGATCCAAACATATCACTAAAGAAAGCCAATGAATCTTGTTCCTATAAATAGCAAGAGAAGAAAGAATTAGAAAATCTATAGAAACAACCACAAAACATGTAACAAAATGGCATAAATACATATCTATTAATAATTACTTTGAATGTAAATGGACTAAATACTCCAATCAAAAGACAGCGTGACAGAGTGGATATACAAATAAGACCCATGTATATGCTACTTACAAGAGACTCATTTCAGACCAAATGACACCTACAGATTGAAAGTGAGGGGACAGAAAAACATTTACCATGCAAATGGATGCCAAAAAAAAGCCAGAGTAGCAATATTTATATTGGACAAAATACACTTAAAACAAAGACCACAAGAGACAAACAAGGACACGATGTAATAATGAAGGGGACAATCCAACAAGAAGATACAACTGTAAATATTTATGCCCCAACATGGGAGCACCCAAATACATAAAACAGTTAACAACAAATATAAAGGAACTAAACAAGAGTAATACAATAATGGTCTTAACTTGCATCAATGGACAGATCATCCAAACAGAAAATCAACAAGGAAAGAGTGACTTTGAATGACACACTGCACCAGGTGGATTTAAGACATATTCAAAACATTCCATCCTAAAAGAGCAGAATACACATTAAAGTGCACACTGGACATTTTACAGAATAGATCACATATGAGGCTACAAAAAAACTCTAAACAAATTCAAAAAAATCAAAATCATACCATGCATCTTTTCTGACCACAATGCTATAAAACTAGAAATTACAAGAAAAAATCTGGAAAGAGCACAAATACATGGACATTAAATAAACATGCTATTAAACAATGAATGGGTCAAACCGAGAAATCAAAAATTACATGGAAACCAAAGAAAATGAAAACACAATGGTCTAAAATCTTTGGGATTTTAGACGCCATTTAGGTGCCTGGGTGGCTCAGCTGGTTGAGTGCAGGACTCTTGACTTCATTTCAGGTCATGGTCTCAGGGTCGTTCGATCAAGCCCTGCGTCAGGCTCCATGCTCGCCAGAGAGTCTGAGATTCTCTCTCTTCCTCTGTCTCTCTCCCCCCCACTTCACCCCTGCTCACACACTCTCTAATAAGAAATTAAATCTTTCAAAAAAAAATAAAATAGAATCTTTGGGATGCAGTAAAAGTATTTTTTTTAAAGATTTTATTTATTTATTTGAGAGAGAGAATGAGAGAGAGAGAGAGCACATGAGAGGGGGGAGGGTCAGAGGGAGAAGCAGACTCCCCACTGAGCAGGGAGCCCGATGTGGGATTCGATCCCGGGACTCCAGGATCATGACCTGAGCCAAAGGCAGTCGCTTAACCAACTGAGCCACCCAGGCACCCTGCAGCAAAAGTATTTCTAAGAGAAAAGTTTATAGCAATACTGGCCTACCTCAAGAAGCAAGAAAAATCTCAAGTAAATGACCTAACCTTACACCTAAAGGAGGTAGAAAAAGAACAACAAACTCAAACCCAGGAAAAGGAAGGAAATAAAAATTAGACCAGAAATAAATGATATAGAAACTAAAAAAACAATAGAACAGATCCATGAATCTAGGAGCCAGTTCTATGACAATATCAACAAAACTGATAAATCCCTCAAGGCTCATTACAGGAAAAAAAAAAAGAGGACTCAAATAAACAAAATTACTAATGAAAGAGGAGAAATAACAACCAACACCACAGAAGTACAATCAATTTTAACAATATTATGAAAACTTCTATGCCAAAAAATTGGACAGCTTAGAAAAAAATAAATTCCTGGAAATATATAACCTGCTAAAACTAAAGCAGGAAGAAACAGAAAATCTGAACAGCCAGCAATAAAATTGAATCAAAAAGTAGTAATTAAAAAACCAAAGTCCAGAATAAACCATCCTTTTGCACCAAAGATGTCTCAAGAATTCTTGGTTGTCAGCTCCGGACCTCACCCCACCGAATTTCACCTATATTCCAAAACCCCATCAAGAAGAGCACCCCCTGGACTTAACACCACCCACTCCAGATTTCCCCATCAGTATCTCTCCACTTAGCACGAGACTCCATCCCTACGATGACTTCACATCAACAGATGATTCTTACCACCCACAGAGATACTTCCTGACTTCCTGTCAGCCTTGGATTCAGCTGCCTCCCCTAGCTAGGGACATCTCTACG